TCGTTTTTGCCCAGCTTGTCGTAGTCCAGCACGGTCAGCTCCACTTGCACCTTCTGGGGCGGGTGTGGGAAGAGGAGAAAGGAGGGCGTGAGGGAGGGCCACCGAAGGGCACCCTCTGTGAGGGGGAAGAGCCCTGCAGTGAGAAGGCGCTCTGGAGATCGTCCTCTAAGCGGATTTTTTTCTTTTTGGCAGGGCTGAGGCTCCAACACAAGGCCTCTCGTGACAGTCCCGGGCTCTGAAACACTTCCAAGGAGATGGGTGCCCGGCACTGCTGAGGCGCTGTCAGGGCTCCTCAGGGAGCAGCTCTGACAGAGCTCCTGCCTGGGTGCTGGGCCCAGCCTGTCAGGGCTATAGGGCCCTGTCCTGGAAGGAACCGGGAAGCCTCTTGGTCTTAGAAACTCTTCCTGAGCCACCTCGCCTGATTTCCTAAGCCCAAGTTTAGAAGATCCCTTCCTCACAGGGGCCGGGCTTTCTGACCCCCACCAGAGGAAGCAGAGATCAGGTGTTGGGCCCAGGACCCAGCTTCTAGGGGTGCTCAAGTCCCTGTGCCTTCCCAGGAGCAGGGTGGGCGGCTCACCTGGACTTGGTCGCAGGACACCTCAAAGCTGAACGCCTCGTTGTAGTAGGGGTTCAGCGTGTTCTTCTTGATGGTAGTCTTCTTCTTCCGCACCTTTTTACCCCCCTGCAGCAGGTGGACCTTGACATAGGGATCTGGGTGGGAGGAGGAGGTGTCTCAGAGCTTCCTCCTCAGGGCCCAGGAGGGGAAGGAATGGGGACCTTCCTCCAGACTGCCACGAGGCACCCCACGCACCCCTCAGTCTCTCTGTGCAAGACAGAATCTGTACCCTCTCATGGCAGCCGGGGGCTCCCTCTGCCAAGAGGCTGTGGGGTTCCCGGCCAGAGCCTCCATGACCACCCCACACTCTTGCCACGCACCCGACAGTCCTCCTACATCCATCTTCTTCAGGTTTTTGGCCTCCAGGACAATGACAGTGAGCTTCCCGGCCGTGGGGACGTAGCGGAGAGAGAAGCAGATGTCCCCTAGCTTCTCCAGCTACAGGACAGAGAGGGACACATGACCAGAGATCACTGTCCGCCCTCTCCTCCCTTTCCTTCCTTCTCAAGCCTTGGAATGGGAGGTGCCAGAGGTAGGCACCCAGGTGCCAATCTAGTTCCTGGAGCTGGCCATCGCAGGTGCTGGCGATCTGATTGGCTCAGAGTAGGGCTGGGCAAGTAGGGGTGGGTGGGGCACCAGGTAGAGGTGGGCGGGGCCTCAAGGAGGGATGGGCGGGGCCACGCATGCTCACCTCCTCCCTCGGAGCAGCCTGCAGCTCCTGCCAGGCCTGCACTGGCCGCCCCAAGTCCACCGAGCTCATGGGGACCCGCACCTCCCCAATAGCATCATTGCGGGAGAAGCGGTCGAAGTCGTATACCGCCATGACCAGCACCCTGCCCCCCAGCTCCACGTAGGGGACCTGGTGGCATCAAGAGAAACAAGGCAAGGGTAGAAAGTCAGAGAGAGGGGAGTAGGTTCCGGTGAGAGACTCAGATGGGTAGTGAGGGTTCAGGAATGCTAGTGGAGAAACACGAGTATTCATGGGGGTCAGCAGAACCCGAACGGGAACACCAAGGACCCAAGGGTCAGTCGTACCTAAGGGACAGCCCCGGGGCCAATATAATAGCCTCCAGGGCTGGTGACACCCTGAGCGGTGGCTACCTCCAGGGAAAGCGCAAAGCGGGGAGGCAGGCTGTGGAGCCCCAGGTGCTCACCTTGAAGGCGAAGGTCTCCCCAAAGTGTGGGTTTAATGTCTGCCGATGCACCTTGGTGTCATGTCGTCTCCGCTTGTCTGGCAGCAGGTAGACCCGCACGTAGGGGTCGGAGGAGCCACCCAGGTCCAAGGCCGCCAGTCCCTCCGCTTGCAGGATGCCCACCAGCAGCTGTATGTGCCCAGGCTCAGTTTCAGGAACCCTGATCTTAGCCACCTTTCCAGGGCCTCCCCTGGGGAGCAGCCCCTCCTCACACCCACCTGACCACTCTGGAAGTCATAGTCCAGCGAGTACTGCAGTCGTCCTAGCTCGTGCTTCTCTGCTACCTGCTGCCCTAGCCCAGCTGGCATGGGCTCCAGCTCCTCCACTTCTGGCTGCACCTTAGGGAGCCAGGGGCAAGGGCAGGTGAAGTCTTCCAGACAGCAGCATCCTTCAGGCTCAAAGCTATAGAGGCTCCCAAAGCTATGCCTGATCACTTGGAAGCTAAGCAGAGTCATGGTTTGATTAGTGGGATGTCTACCACTGACAGGAACTAGAAGCGGGTGCAGAAGATTTATCAGTGTTTGATTAGTGATGTCTGCTATGGGCAGGGGATTGGTACAGTGGTGCATACAGTGTTTATCATGCCTAGACTAGAACATGAGCCCACAGGAAAGATGTAGAAGAAGGCTATTATGGCTGGGTGTGGCACACCTGTAATCCCAGTACTCAGGAGGCTGAGGCAAGAGGATTTCTGTGAGTTTGAGACCAGCCTGGGCTACATAGTGAGTTCCAAGTCAGTCTCAACTACATAGTGAGACCCTGTCTCAAAAAACAAAACAAAACCAAAAAAAGGCGTTATGCATGCTAATGGATATATTAGGGCAGAGTCCAAATTGCCACATTGGTTGGTGATCCTCTCACCACAAAATGGGGAGGAGAAATGGCATATTTACTGTGTCCTTCACATTCTAAAGCAAAACAAGAGAAGCAGAAGGTTTCTCCTGAGCCCAGGCCATCAATTCTCAAGATTCATTGTGAATTGGAATTCCTGAATCTTGTGGCAAAATGGGGGGTCACTTCTTTAGAAAATTCTGATTTGATAGGTCTGTACAACATTCCACCCAGAGTAGACATGCAACAAATACTGCGGGTGACCTGATGCAGATGGTGTTTGGACAGGGGAGCTTAGGGATAGGGAGGGGACTGCCCCTCTTGCTCAAGACCTTCTTGCTCAAACTCCCATTTGCCCTCATTACATGGCTACTGATGCGCTAAGCTGAACAGGTGCCCCATTCCAGGGCTCAGGAAGCTGTACTGTTCTTCCAGCCATTATAAAAAATGACTCTTTGATCCCAAAACGATGTCAAGATTCAGTGCACTCTCTCCCTTTGACTTGAATGTCCTCTTTGGCCTGGGGTAACTGTCCTTGGGTCTCACTACAGAAGTCACCCCTACCAGAAAGCCTCCTCTGACCCTCCACGCCAGTGCCGCAGTGGACTATCATTGAAAGCTTTAGAAGGTTTGCCATCACGGCTCTAGGCTGTCGGGTGCCCTCTGCCATCCTTCGATGTCCTGTTTTGATGAGCACTGAGAGTGTTTGACTCCCCCACCACACCGTGAAGCTCTTGTGAACAGCTACTAGATCTGGCCCATCTCCAGGGACTTGAGTCCAGTTGGGAGCTGAACACACGGGAAGCTGAGTTAGGGGGAGGCACAAGGGGCACAGACCCACTGGGCCGCTGAGCGTGCAGGGTGCAGCTAGGGAAGGGTTGAGGGGCTGGGCCAAGCCACACCTTGTCTATGTAACTCCGGCCCAGCTCCTTCACTTCCTGAAGGTGGACCTGGGCTTGTGCCTGGTTTTTCTTGCCCATCCGCCTCTGACAACGCTTCCGGCAGAGACAGAAACAGCAGCTGAAGACCAGGAGGCCTGAGACCAGCACGATGGTGGCCAGGGCCCAGGGTGGCACTGCAGAGGAGTGGAGGGGATCAGCATGGAGGCCCTGGAGGCCAGCTGGCTGGTTCAGCCAGGACTCCATGTGGAAGCTGGAATCCTGGCCTCACCCACCCCAAATTCATTCTACGTTATGCCCATATTTTCCTTCCAACTGCTCTCACCTAAAAAGCTAGTTGATACCTTAACCAAGGCTGACGCTATTTTGCTTACTTATTAGCAAATAATAATATAGCAAATAATAAGCCTTTTCCACCCCCATTTCTGCTCAATGCCTGCTGCTTTTAGAAGAAGCCCTACCCCTTTCTGGACCCCCGTTTCCCTGCCTGTAAAACAAGGGAGAGGTGAACCCTCCCATTCATCCACCCCAGATTCCATTCCGTGCCCCACCCCTCATCTGCTTCTGCTGTTCCTTCCTAACCTGCTCCATTCTTTTCAGTTCTTCCAAATTCCAGTCCAGACTGACAAGCTTGTAGTCCTGGCCTGACCCATCCCCCACCCCTCGGTCCTGTCTAGGTCAGGGGCTCTGGGCAGGCTCAACCCGGGTCGGCTCAGCTCACCTGCACCCTGGTGGATGCGGCTGGAGTCTGGAGGCGTGTCGGGAGCCGGAGGCCCGGGGGTCGGGGGCTCTGGGAACATGGTGTCAGGGTCCCGGGCTCCTTGCTGCAAAGGCACCCAAGCTCCTAGGGCCCACTCCCACCCCGGCATCCACTGAGTCCTGGACTACAAGACCTCCTGGCACCATTGCTTTTGGGGCCTGCTGGGAGTTGTAGTCGTAGCCTCCCCACGACACCAAGCGGGGTGAGGCTTTGGGGTTCTAGTTCCCTCCCATAGGACGCCCCTCCCTCCAAGGCATCCCCAGGCATCTCAACGACTTCTGCCCGTTCCAGATTGAACCGGAAGTGGGCGAAGGCGGCGTGGGAACCTCGTTGCCTGGAGCAACCGCCTGGCTCCACACCGGGTGTGAGCAACTCTGGTTGCTGTGCAGCTGCCTGTTTCCAGGACAACGGGCGGGGCTGACGCACGGAAGAGGAGTCGGGCGGGGCCGGGGACCCCCCCCACAATCTCGGAGCCCAGCAGGGCGCCCTCCGCGTCTGGCCCTCCCCTGCCCTTGCTGGGGAGGATGGGGGCTACCTGACGCCTGTGCTGGGTCCCCACGTTATCTCGGCCTGTGGGTCTCCTGTGCACCCCGAGCTGTCTTCACACCTGTTCTCGCCACCGCCTGTCTCCTCCCTCGTGACTTCAGACGGGCGGGGCCCATGCTGACCGGCTCCCCTCCGTCTCCGGAAATCCCGTGTCCCTGCCCCGTGTTCCTGCCCCAGCCCGAGGTCTGGTCCGAGTCTGCGGGTCGTTCCCCTCCCCCATCTCTTTGTCTCCACCGGGTCTGGCGTCTCTAAATCCCGATCTCCACGTTTCAGGCTCCAACCTCCCAGCCCTCGCTTGGCTCTTCCCAGGCTCCCCCACCGCCTCCCACCTCCCC